ATGGTGAGAGGGATATTTAAGCAAGACAGTCTCAATTCTGGAAAAAATTATGTCATAATATTTCTCTTCTGTTACTGGTAACATAAGCCTGGGCACCAAAGCTCTGAACAGTCTTTAAAATTCAAAATCTCATTTGTACCAGAGAGACTTGGGCTCCCAGACACCTCATAAATTGAGTCCGTGGATACTGCTCCCTTTCACTTCTGGGATGATTGCGTGATATGGAAGCAGAAGAGAGAACAATGAATAACACTGTGGGGTTAATCAGGTTTATTCACAGCGTTGTCTTGGAAATAGCAATGCTGAAGGACCATTCCTTACTTTTTAGAGGTAGGAGTTTCCACTCAAAGGAGTGCTAGGAAAGGCAAGTGCACACCAGAGTAAAGCTGGATGAGGAGCAGTTCTGCTGGGAATGACCTGGGGGTGTTGGTAGATCTCAGTCCAGACAGGATCCAGCTGTGAGCCTGCAGGCTGAGGGAGGTGTTCCTACCACCCTGATCAGCATTCAGGGGCTCGTTTCTGGAATACTGCACCCAATTCTGGCTCCCCAGGACTGGGAATGACAAACCTGAGCAAGTTAAAGCAAAGGCTTCAAGGGATCTCAGAGCGGCCTGCACAGCACCTGGGAGGTGACACCATGGTCTGACTACAGCAGACCCTGATCTAACCAGGAGTCAAGACCTCTAGAGGTCCCTCCCAGGCTTCATTAGCCTGTTATCCTGTGATCCTCTTTCTGTCCAGCTTCCTTCCTTCCTTCCTTCCTTCCTTCCTTCCTTCCTTCCTTCCTTCCTTCCTTCCTTCCTTCCTTCCTTCCTTCCTTCCTTCCTTCCTTCCTTCCTTCCTTCCTTCCTTCCTTCCTTCCTTCCTTCCTTCCTTCCTTCCTTCCTTCCTTCCTTCCTTCCTTCCTTCCTTCCTTCCTTCCTTCCTTCCTTCCTTCCTTCCTTCCTTCCTTCCTTCCTTCCTTCCTTCCTTCCTTCCTTCCTTCCTTCCTTCCTTCCTTCCTTCCTTCCTTCCTTCCTTCCTTCCTTCCTTCCTTCCTTCCTTCCTTCCTTCCACCATTTTGTATGTTTTTCACTTCTATTAATTTTCATATCTAAATCCATTTTGTCCTTTTTCACTCCTAACTCTCAGTGTTTCATTGTTTATCTTCTTACCAGGTTATTGTTTCAAGGTTGTTAGCTCTCTTCCTCCATTTTATTTCCTTTCTTTGTCCCACCAGCCATCATTAAGCTTTTCTTGTTTCAAGCAGCATTAATCTTTAGCCATTGATCTCTAAATAGAATTGCAAAATAAAGCATCAGACTATCTAGTTATGCTTTCCTTAACCTAATCTGTTTCTGATACCATTTGAGTTTACGTTAGAACTTATTTAAACACAACTTCCTGTATTGAGAGGACAACAGCTTGGCTCAGATTTGAGTCATTTCTGTCTGGTGCATACATTTCTTTAATTACAGGTTGGTCAATACAAGATGTGCTTAGCATTTAGGACAAACACAGCAGATCAATAAGAGTTCTGGGTCAGCTCAGATCCGATTCCTGACCGGAGTCTACAAATGTGCAGATAATGAAGGTGTCTTGGCTGGATGAAATCTCTGACAGTCTGATGTTGAGCTGGTGTCCCAGTAAAGGGAGGAGGCCCAAGCCAAATTTGTACATCTGCAGTTAAACCAGTGTTGGGGAAGAATAGAGATGCACTGCAGCAGCTGTGGCCTTAGAGCCCCTAAGAAAACATAGAACATGGAAAGTTTTGGGTTCACCATTTCCTTCCAACCCCAGGGACACCTCCCACTACCCCAGGTTCCTCCAAGCCCCATCCAGCCTGGCCTTGGACACTCCCAGGGATGGGGCAGCCACAGATTCTCAACCTGTGCCAGTGACTCACCGCCCTCACAGTAAGGAATTTCTTCCTAATATCTAATCTAAACCTTCTCTCTCTCAGTTTGAAGCCATTTCCCCCTGTCCTCTCATTTGTCCTATCACAAATGTCCAAACTACATTGGTTTGCATCTGAAATGAAGAAGGGGCAGCCTTCATCCCCTTGCCTGTTTGCAGGGGTTTTGTGGGAAGCTCCTGAGACCCACACTCACCCCCAGTTTCACTGAGGGGAATAAGGCTCCAGACTCCAACTGGCGGATTGATCTAAATCTGGGTGGAGAAGAACTATCCTAATAAAGTCACGGAATCCCAAATCACAGCGCAAAGGGATACTGAGGCCATCACACCCCAGTCCTGTAAGGAGAGCTGCCCTCCCTGCATGGGGACTGCTGCTGGTTCTTTCCTCAGCTCTGGAAGTCAGAGATGGAATATTTTACCTTCTTTTGCAGTTCTGCCTGGGGTCATCTCACTACTGAGTGGGTGGTAAAGCAAAAAAATAGTTTTGTGGTGTCCAGCACAATTTGAAGAAAGCTTTTTAATAATTTGATCCAGTTTGCTTTCCATGTGTAAGGTCCATTAGGTTATTTGAAAACTATGGTAAATTCTGCCTCTGGCTCATATTTTTGCATCATTCTTGTGTCTAGAATTTTCTTTCTCTCTCTAACCTTGTATCAGGAGACATTCAAAAGAACATTACCATCCCTCGCTGCATTTAACTTAACCAAGATATGACTCCTGGGGATAGTCTAATGTGGAAAAGAGCAGGAATAAATCATAATCTGTCAGAATATTAATGTTCTAAATTAATGCACATCCTTCTTCATAAAAATGGTTTCTTCAATTCCAAGTCAAATAATATTGATTCTCAATGTGACACAAAGACAAGTGATCACTGTAATACAACTTAAAAGCAACTTGAAGAGTAGCTGAAGCAGGAGGGAATAGAAACTTGACAAGTGTTTTTGCCTAAGTGTCAGTAGAATTATTCTTTTAGGGAAGACAAGAAGTTTAAACATGCACAGGTAATTTAAACAAGCCTTCTCTGAAATTCCAAGAGGAAAAAAATGCTCTCTAATTTCCACTCCATTAAATTGTGATATTATTAATATTACTATTGGTATGTAAGTAGCTCTGAAGAAAATGTTTAATTCTTCGTAAAATATAAATTAACACATCACTGCATTTCTGTGGGAAAATGCATATAGTATTCCAGTAGAAACAAACATTTTTCAATTATCTTCGTCTTTCTTATAGCCAAGCTACCTCCACCAACCCTTAAAGAAGGAAAAATTCAGAAAATAAATTCTCTTAATATTTCTCTTGGATTTATATATCATATGTGCTTGTAAATTCCATTTGCCTCATTTATCATTTTCATTGATGGATTCAGTTGTCCTATCACAAATTCCTGACTATATATCACTTCCTGTAACACAGTACATCCCTACCTTTCTCTGAATATGTTAAGATTGTCCCTGTGGTTCCTCCTGTCCCCTTAGTGTGTATGTCTAACACAAATCCAGGCACAATGCAGGCTCTAGGATATGGACGGCTTTTTTTACATTGGAAGAAAATCCTTGCCCAAACCCCAGGTGTGGAACAGAAGCCAAATGAATGTGAGCTGAAAAATATCTCTGCTATGTCAGGGAAGTTAAGTGTGTTTTGGGTCAGACAGCCAAGTGAGTCAAGCTCTCCTGAGAAACATCCAGCACGAGGAGAGGAAGAGATGCAGGGGAGTTGAAACTGGAATGGGTGCAGGGAGCCAGAGAGGTGCTGAATCATCTGATTCCTCCTACGTAAATCTGAGCCCTGTAGCACCAGACCCCTCCTACTCAAACAACCTGACTCATCCTGTACCCTGCTTGTGGCTTCCTACATTTTCTCTCAGGAAAATCCTTTCCTCTTCCTGCACATAAACCAAGACATGATGGACACATTCAGTATCACAAGATTTTCTGTATCAGGGTTCTTTTTCAGCTCTTTTTGCTCTTCTCCTGCATATCAAATCTGACCCACTGCCTCTTCAAAACATGAGCACATACACAGACACAAACACACAAAATGCTTTCTAAAAACAAAATATATAATTCCCAGTAATTTCTGGAGTCAACACTAACAAAGCAATCCATTGTTGAAAATGTGTCAATAGGGACCACCCCACTGGGTAAGAGAGGAGTAGGGAGTGATTTTAGCACTGGTCTGTCCTCACCCTGGACCTGCTGGCTGCCTCACTGGCTCTGTTTTCAGCTGTCCTAAACATCTTCTCAAAAATGGAATCTCCCTCTAAAGCCTGATAGGAAGGGGAGGGAAAAGACTGTACAAAACTGAGGTCTAAATTCATCTCTGTTTAATAGGCCTGCTGTTAAAGTTATTACCCACTTCCCCTCTGCAGACAATGAGAAAAATTAAGCTACTCCATGTCATGTGTCTCACCTTGTGCTGTGGCTTAGGAGAAATCCCTGCTGGAGATTCCTCTTTCCATTATTGACTAAAGTAGGAACCTGAAAAATCTGTGAAGACTCATTTGCTGGTTTTAATGACTCAAGTTAGTCAAAATGTGTTCCACTCCTGAAGTGGTCTGTGTCTGCACTGCCTGTGTAGGATGACATCTGCTCCAGACAAAGAGGTGCCCTTATTGGTATTTTATGTTGTAGTTATGAAATCCACTTCTTCTGTGTTGATTGATATCCTGGGGACTTCAGATGTCATGCACAGCCATGGAAAAGCTCTCGTGAAGAGCCAAGGTAATTGCAAAATTACTTACAACAAGTTATGGAAAGGCTCCTGCAGATCCAGCTTTTGTTCTGGTGCTGGTCCATCCTCCAGCCTTGATCAAGAGAAAATACACAGAATGTACCCATGTGTTTGGTGGCATGTTGAATTTTATAATGAAGGAACTTAGGAAAACAAGGATTCACATTCCAGCTACTGTCGGGAACGTTTAAACAGGCCTTTCAAAAAAGAAAAAAAGTCAAATCCACTAGCTATAATTATAGCTCAGGAATTTATAAGGGGAATGGGGCTATATTTTTCTAGGAAATTGTGTTAATGTCTTCAGTGTAGTAAAAATTAACATTTCTGCCTCTTATTTGCATCCTCTTCTTTGCATTCCTCTGGGACAGAAACACTTGGTACTGCCAGATCCTCCAAGGATTAAAACAGGGAGTTTGAATCTGCAATTCAGAACTTTGTGTGGCCCCAGGGGCAGCTCAGAAAAGCTCCATGAAAGCAGCAGGGAACTCAGGCCCAGACTGCAGCTGCAGAGCAGCTCCCTCACACAGAACCTCTAAAGGCTTTTGCCCCTGCCTTCAGAATCCCCAAAGTGCAAGGGAAGAGACCACTGAAACAACAGAATCTGCAAAAGGAAATTAGAAATGAGAAAAAAGCCAAGCTTCACCTGCTGAAGATAAAAAATATTGGACCTTCTTGCCAAGAATTCTGGCAAACCCAGCACCTCTCCAAGCCCTTCCAGTGAAGCAGGATGACTTCCTGAGGGTGTGTGCACAGTAAGAAGTGCAGCATTTTCCTTCCAACTCTGAGCAAAATCCCCTGCAGCTCTGCTGAGAGATGCCAGCTCCAGTCCTGGGTGCCAAGTGGACATGTCAGTGCAGGATTGCACGGGCAGAATCCAACAGAATTGATCTGTGTGGCACACCAGGGCATTTACACAGTTCTACTACTTCCACATCCACAACCGAGCATGTGATGCTTGTCTAACCACACAGCTAAAAATATCCAAAAATAGCTTGTTTTGCATGAATGCAAGTCTCCATTCTGAAATAAACAAATGTTCAGAAGAGTCCATCATGATGGCTCATATCTCAAAGTACACCTCTCACCCCTCTGCCAGTGGGGCCAGTGGAGCATTTATCCATTTTCTATATTCTTCCACTGTCCTCTGCCTCTTTTGATTTATGTGCCAAATTTTCCCATTTCCCAATTACTCACCCCTGTCGATTTCTCTCGAGGTTCTGAAGGTCAGGGTGACTCCAAGAGATCAAAAAGTGTCTTTGCTTCCCTTAGCCTGAGCATCCAAAGAAGGAGCCTGGAGTGCTTCTGATTGCGTTTTCAAGGTCGTTTATTTCTTCTTATCTAAACTCTCTTTCTCTCTGACCTGCCAAGCTCTGGCTAGCAAGGAGACCATAACATTTCTGGCCTGAGCCCTGGGCAGCTCCCACATTATATACTCTAAACTACATGTCTATGTTTACAATTTCTTCACCATTTCCTATCATGTATGTTGGACAGTGTGTCACTATCTTTAACCAATAGAAAAGTGTCACCATCACACCAAGCCACGGAGGGCAAGAGGAAGGAGAAGAAGGCTAGGACACACCCAATTCCTCCATCTTCTACCCCACTGAACCCCATTTTAAAAATCCCAAAATTCTACTTTTCCACACTGTGTTAATTCAAGTATCAAACTACTAAAACCCTTGTGACTTGTCATTCCTCATCCAGAGCTGACAGTTTTCCACGGGCTAAAATCGAAGCCACAGATGTTTTTGGCTTCATGCCAGGGTCCCTGAGACCCCTGCCAGGGTCTCGAGACAGCCAGGGCAGCCAGAGGGATGTCCTGGACTCCAGCACTGACCAGGTACTAATATAAAGTAGTTAATGGTGCTCTTACAAGGGCTTTGACATGAAGGTGTTTGAATTCAGCCCTTCTTAAGTGTGCACTTTGCTGTTCATAGCAGCACGTTCCACTGGCAAAGGGAAACATTCCTCAATGTAAACCTGGTACAAGAGACATCACCAGCGTGAGGACATTGTCAGTGCCAAAAAACTTGTCTGGGTTAATGTTGCCAACATCACACTGCATTAATGGAGATGTTACATTACATTCATTGCATTGCTATTGTATAAAGCTGCACAATTCCAAGGCCAGAATGCAGCACACCCTCTTCCTTGCAGTGTATAAAAGCAAGCACTATTGAAGTTTGCTTTATAAAGAAAAATATCAAATGCTTTAATATTACTTTCATAAGGAAAATCTGTTTTTATTTTCTGTCTTGGTTGTAAAAATATTTCCATTCATATAGAGCCAGAGCAAGTCTTTGGTTGAATACATTCTTCTATCCTTATTGAGACAGATATGATATAGAACACAAATAAAGCTTTGAGGAATAAACTGAAATATGTTTTCCACTCTCTTTGTCCTCTCCATCTACAACACAGTCGTGGTCATAGCAACACTGGTCCATGGGTTATCTGGTTTTCTTCTGCTTCTATTCTTACAGGTTTTCAGCATCTGAGCTCAGCAGGATCAGAAAGGATTGAGAACAAGTGGAAGTAGGCACAGGTGGGTCTGGCACATTCACACTTTGAGGTGACCTGGTGTGTTTGCACAGCCCATTGCTTTCCTCTCACAGAGATCACAGTGGGTGTTACTGCCCTTTGGGCTCTTTAGTAAATAACTCAAACTTCTCTGGTTTCCTTTTCTGTAAGATTGAGTTCAAGCTGAACAGACTCAATCTTCCACTTCAGTTTCTTTAGAGAGGTTAATGTGCAAGAAGAAAAATGAAGCCAATTCGGTAGCTACTTCAGAAGGGTTTACTCACCTCAGGTATGCTATAGGGTGGAGTGGATTTATGGAATTTACCAGGGGAAGAAAAAGGAGAAATGGAAAGAAATTAAGTACTAAGAAAATATGTGGGGGGGAAAAAAAAAAGAAGCAAAACAAAAGACATAAATAAAAAACAAATTGAAAGTGAAGCAGAGGTACAGAAAATGTTTAGTGCTGTACAAATTTTCAAATACTTGTCTTCTTCTGTGCTCTGAAAGAGTTAATCCTGGTGTCAGCCAGGAACTCAGCTAATGATTTCTCTCCTACTTCTTACATCAGCAGCAGATCAAGATCAAATTTAACATTGTTAAAATGCAGGGAATAGCTATAAACTGAATCCTTAATGAAAGGAGCAATGGGTCAAAAGGGCACATTTGTTATTCAATAATCCAGTAAAACTTTTCAATCTGCTGAACAAAATACCTCTGTGCAATGCTGAAAATAAATGAGTTGGGTCTTTCTGATGCAGTTGATATGTGAGATAATTTTAGCAGGTCTGAAAGTCATCACAAGAGACTTGCTTCTGCCTTTTAGTATGGTTATGGTGGTACCTTCCACGCCTTTCACATTTCAAATGATTTCTCAGTGAATCCCAGGCTCCACACTTTGAATGTGCCTCAAAGGAACCAGCCCCTGGTCCCTCACACGCTGCTGCTATTTTGGAGGCACTCTGTGCTTATTGGAACAATCTTTTTCTTTTTCATTGAGAGGCCAAGCTAAAGGGTCAAACAGAGAAAAGAGATACACACACAAATAGCAGGAGTTCTTTGCCAAAGGATGTCAGGGATGTAAAAGGTTTACGTAGCTTCAAGGAGGGGACAGGGCAGGTACTCAAATGAGAGCTAATGAGAGGCTCTAGGCAGACAAATCACACACCAAGCTGACAAAAATCCCATAAATGAGCCCTCAGACCTTGCACCTCTTCAATTCCAAACAGCTGAATCTCAGAAAATTTTATCTACAGACTTGGGACCTTTTCTGTTTTAGAGAAATTCAGGAAGTAATCAAGCATTCATTCAGAGCTAAATGATCTATTTTGGCACAGCCATGGTCCTTGCAGGAGACACTTATTTTTTGGCTCAGAAAGTGTGTTTGCAGAATGCTTGTCATTCATGAAGAAATAAGAGTTTATAGAAGTTTATGCCCCATAGGCAATAAATATGGAATAATACGCTGTACAGAAATATTCCCAAAACAAGGCTCTCTAAGAATATAGGATCAAATTCCAGCATACTTGAGAAGTGAGAAAATATTTTGATGTCAACAAGAATTGTAATTAAAATATTTAGTCAGATCTCAGGAGAAAAACAATTGCAGTGTTTAAAAAAGGCTGAAGCATTATAATTCCACAGAAATGGCTGCAGAAAGTATTTAGCTTTCTACTGATCAAACTCTGTTTCCAAGTACTTGCTGCCATAGACAACAGAAAATAAAAATTAGGAGAGATTTGAACAACAAAATCATGCCAAAATCTTTTGTTTAGTTGTGTTTTGCTTGTTGCTCATAACTAGGATGCAGCACTATTATAATTTTGCAAAAGCTTTTTGGACTGAGTTTTGGGGGTGTTTCTGGTCTGCTTTCCCACCCTCTGACATAAACAAACAACCTGCATCTGGTTTTGTGTCCTGTATTTCACATTCGCAGCTCCCTAAATCCCACTTTAGTGACTCTGTAAATGCATCAGCTGCGGGAGCTGATGCAAGTGGCTGGAACCTCTTTCCCTACACTATAATCTAACGCACTTAGCGAGCCAATGAATATGTGGGAAAGGAGGGGCTTTCTGGCTGAGGGGCTCTGGCAGGGAAACAGCTGTTGAGCAGCACAACCTTACCCAGAGCCAGGCAAACACACTCATTCACGTCCTCAGTGGCTCTGTGCTTCCAGGGGTTGGCAAGGCAGCTGCCCCCTCCTCCTCTCTCTGCAAAAAGTGAGCAAACTTGCACAGGGAAACAGAAAAGACAGCAAACCTCAGCTGTGAGACATTTCAACAGATCCAGCAATGGCCTGGGTCAGTAATTTCTCCTGGTTAAACCACCTTGCTCTACATGAAGAACGTCTCAGAGGGTACTTAAACAGCACTGAGGATTATTTAACCTTCCTGTGTGGGCCCAGACGGAGCCACCTGTTCCTGCCCATGGCTTTGGTGTACTCGGTGATCTTCGTTGTCGGGGTGGTGGGGAACTTCTTGGTTTGCCTCGTCATCCTCAAGCACCGCAACATGAAGACCCCGACCAACTATTACCTGTTCAGCCTGGCGGTCTCAGACCTGCTGGTGCTGCTTTTCGGGATGCCCCTGGAAGTCTACGAGATGTGGAGCAACTACCCCTTCTTGCTGGGGCCCGTGGGCTGCTACCTGAAGACAGCTCTCTTCGAGACCGTGTGCTTCGCCTCCATCCTGAGCGTGACCACGCTGAGCGTGGAGCGCTACGTGGCCGTCCTGCACCCGCTGCGCGCCAAGCTGGCCAGCACGCGCCGCCGCGCCCTCAGGACCATCCTGGCCCTCTGGCTGCTCTCCGTGCTCTTCGCCCTGCCCAACACGGGCACCCACGGCATCGTGCTGCAGCGTTTCCCCAACGGCACCCTGGTGCCCGGCTCTGCCACCTGCACCGTGGTCATGCCCCTGTGGATCTACAATTGTATTGTCCAGATCACTTCTTTGCTCTTCTATGTGCTGCCCATGGGGGTGATAAGTGTGCTGTACTATCTGATGGGGCTAAGAGTAAGTCCTGCTCCAACTGTGCTCAGTGTTTCCTTGGCTCATTCTTGTGTGTTTGTGTCTATATGTGGCTTTTGAGTGAGTTTTGCACCTTTTTTGTTGCCCATGTTTTCCCCCCAAAAACAGCAAAAGTGTTTCTCAAACCTCTGAAAATAGTAGATCCAACTTCTTCTCTGGTGCAATCCGGTTCTGAGATTAGTATTGCTGTGTTGAGGAATAATTTACCCCAATCTTTTTATAAAAACTTACCATCACTGCTGCTCACATCTGAATGTTAATGAAACACCCAAGTCTGTAGATTGTTTCCAGCCTCTCAGAGATTTACACCTTTGCAGTAGGGACTAGAAAGAAATGGACCAAAAGGAAAATGTGTAAAGAATAAAAAGAAGATGGCTAGCGATTGAATCTTGTGTACTATTTGTTTTCCCTTTCCTTGTAGAATTTCCATTGCATTACTTTCTTCTTTTTCTTCCCTGGAGCTGGTGGTAATATTCACTTGTTAAAACTCACAAAGCTCATAAACTGAAATGTTAGCTTATTCCTGCAGCTAGAAAATTCAGCAATCTTTTTTTTTTTTATAATTACAGCCTTGTTTCACCAGGCTACCTTAGAGCGTATATTAATTCTCTCTTCAGAAATTGAGACTACTTTTGACAAGTCTCCATCACGTCAATGTGTGGAAAAACAATCAGGATCACAGTGTTATAAAACTACATAGCACAACACTGAAATGTACTGCTAATCACAGTGACTTGATGACTACTTTCTTCTCATAGGTTACAGACATTTCAACAATATAAATCCCATTTTATCACACTGAATGTAACTTAAAGTTTACAAAGATGTGTCTGATCCCTTAGCAAGGAAGGAAGACAAATGAACTTATTAAATAATATGCAAGAAACTCAACTAAATCTCTGCTGGTGTACATATCATTTTTACTTATGGTAAAAAAATATGGATTATCTGACAGAAATCCACAGAACAGAGCAGATCCTTGAGGCAGTGAATGGGTTAAGTTATCCCCAGTCTCTGGAGGCTCTTGAGGGGTCTTTTACATAGTTTCAATTAATATTTTGCAACATTAGACCTGAAGGGAATGAAATGTGAATAAAATAGTGTTGTTACAAAAAGAAAAAGAGAAATCCCTGAGTTTATAAAAGGAAGACTTGAAGGTTGCAATAACTTCTATTTACAGCAGCAGATATTCCTATACCCCATCCCAGAAGAGAAGCTCAGTACCAGATGAGGGCTGATCCCCCAGGACTTCTGCAAATTCCCACATTTGTTCAAGCTGACATTCCTAAAGACAGGAATGTTCACTGTTTGTGCCTCTGTTTTTCTGTACATCCAGCTCAAACTTCCAAATTTTAACAGAATCCATCCTGGCTAAATCTGCATTATCTCCAAGCTGCACTGGCAAGATGATTTCATTTCTTCAACAGAAGTGACAGAAGAATGATGAATATATATAATTTTCCAAGAGGAGACACTTTTTATCTTCTCACAAAGGAGAAAATTCATGAGGCTTTAGCAACACCCTGCAGTCACCTGAGTGCCAAGTATCACTCACAGAACGCAGTGGAAAAGCTCAGGGTTGATCCAAAGGTTGTACAACAGCTTAAATTCAGCAAACAGAGGCATGACCTTTTCATACCCAGGCTTTGTAGAAAGGGCATTTCTTCACCATTTTCTCTCTCAATCTCTGCTAGTGCTGGACACTCTCAGGATGCAATGCAGATGGGGACACGGACCTGCCAGGCAGCTGTGAGAAGGCAGCAAACATGGGTCATAGGGTACCTGAGTTAATTTATAGTTTAATCCCTTGAAAAAGTGTAAAAATATATTTGTCTTTTTCACTGGGAAATGGTTGATTACCTCATTATCTACTTGGGCATAATTTTAAGGCTTGGTGGTTTAACATTGCAATGTTATGGTCAATTGATCAGTCGAGCACCAGTGTAAAGAAGAGGACACTGCTCATTGCACTGTAAACTCATTAGGCTTAATTGTGGAAGCTTCCTGCTGCCTCTTCAATGGGGTTCCCATCACAGATACCTTTAGGATAAATCCCAAAATCATCCAGGCTCTTCAAACCCAGTTCAGCTGTTGAGTTGTGGGTTGCAACCCACAGCCAAAGAGCTGAGGAGGGAGGGGAGAGGGATGAGATGAGAACATTGGGCAGTAGCAGCTCGTGATAGTTCATCCCTGGGGCACTGATTGAGGTGGGATGGGATTGCCTGGGGACAAGTCTGCATTGCAGCAGGATCCAGTGCAAGGTGCCTGCCCATTTCTTTCAAACTGATTCCTAAAAGGACACGAATGTAGGTGCTGATCACTGCTTGTCTAAAAGTCATACTCTATTTAACAAGGGTTTCTGACAGCATAGGCTGGATGATTCTTCTCCCAAGGCTCCAGCTTTTCTCTTAGTCTCACATACCCTCATTAACTGGCAATAATAATATTAATATTAATTATAATAATAAATTTTGATATAGTGGCAATTTTATTTTAGCTGTCTTTGAAGCAAGACAACTTATTCTTGCCAATGCACATCTGGTCCAACTTTTATCATTAAAATCTATCTCTCCCCTCAAATACCTAGCTGCTAAACACCCAGAATCATCTGTGGATGGTGACTGCCTTTGGCTAATTTCTGCAGAGCCCAGCACAGCTCTTCCAAAGCTGTCCCCTTTCCATGGAGGCTGTTCAGCAGTCCTTGTCCCAGTGGTTGGCTCTCCTTTGCCATGGGGGTGAGCTAAGGCACACCAAGGCTGCAGCTCAGCAGCAAACTCTGAAACAGGCAGGACTGTAATCTTTAGCAGAAACCTTGTGGGGTTTAAATATCAATTTTTCCATCAGCTGAAGAGAACCTTTGATCACCACTAGTGTCAGACAGGCCAAGCAGTTTACAGAAACCATTCCTCTTTTGCAGATTACAGAAAGCAGTCCCTCTTTTGCAGAGTGGCCTCACTATGCTTGTCTGGGGATAGGTGAGACCCTGCTTTCACTCAGCCTTTTGATTTCTGGGGTGAAATGCTGTAGCTAATAAAGATCTGGGGGGTGGGGGGGAGAATCCAATTTTCAGCTTCTTGCTCCAGTCACTTTTAATTCTCTTGCAGTGAAAGGGTAGCATTTATCTCAAACCTACACAGACTCATACATCATAGTGATGTAAAAGTATCTTGGCTGGGGTTCTGTCCCTCTCAAAATGTTGGCATTGACTCAAGTTACAACCTTTGCCACGGGCTCATTTATTTTTTTTTTTCCCCTCTCTGTTTCTAATGTTTCTCTGTTTCATTAAACTGCAGCTGCTGAATTGTTCTTACCTGTTACACCTTCATCACTTGAGGCTAAAGAGGAGCCTTACAGCATCATCAAAATGACAGGAGAAAGGGGAAATATAAAGATACATGTGTCTCTGGTTTATTACAGCATCAGCACACTGTACTCTCTGAGGCTTTGGAATATGCCTGGAATAGATTACTGTTGAGACTGAAAACCACTGAAGGGAATCCAGGAGTTTTAATAAATCTAATCATTTATCAGTAGATGTGTTACAAATCAGCTGAGTGTTTTCCTTAAGCAACTGTGGCTATGACTAAAAGTTACAAGGGGAATAATGTAAAATATGAGAGGCTGAATTACACTATACTCGACTATAATTCCATTTATATGTTTTTTCCGTTTATAAACGGAATAAAGAGAACACTGAAAGAAGGGCTCATTTAATCATCATTACAGAAAAGTATTATTAATCAGAAAGCAAAATCACAGTGTAAAAGGCAAAAGCAAATAGCACAACTAGTATGTATTCACAAGGCTTTTACAAATCCAGAGTGATTACTATCTTTTCACTCATTCCTGATATTGTCTCATGTATAATTAAATTTTGGTTCCAGTTTCTCTACTTGAAAACAGACAAAGCTGTTGGCTAATCAGGAGTTCCCACTGCAGGAAGCTGGGACCAAATATGGACTTTCCAGATATTATTTCTTTGGCATTCAAACCAATTGCCCTGTTTATGTAAATGTGACTTTTTCATTAAAGCACCAGTCTTCTCATCATAAACATACTGGGGATGGATTCCAGGGGTGATCAGATTATTGCCCTTTATATATCATTTATATTATATTTTTATATATATTAATATATTATTTATATTATATTTATATATATTGCCCTTTTTTTTTTTTTTTTTTTTGAAGTCTGGGAAAAACTGCTGGAGAAAACTCACTCCTTGTTGTGCCTGAGCAGTGTGTGGGTGTGGCTAAATCTGTGTGTATGTGTATCATGCACCCTGCCCATCTGCAAGGCAGAATTTCTGGGATTTGTTCATTAGATGGGTTGAATATCAACTACTCCCAACACTCAGGGCATGAAACAAACTCCCTTGAATTCCACAGGATTTTTTCCAGTGATTACATCTGTGTTGTACTGAGGCCTCTCTGGGTATTTTTTGGATCATTGGATTGTGCTTAATTGTGGGGAACACTTTTAGGAAAATAAACAAACAAATGATATTTTGCTAGAAGAGAAAATAATGCCTAGCAAAATACTGTTGAAATGGAACAGAAACTGTGAACCAAATATTGACTTGTTAAGAAAAGATAAGTGGGGAAATGAAATACAAATTTGCTGTAATCTGCAGATTGTTTTGAACCTAAAGCTTCCATGTTTTTCTAGACCAAAACTGAAATTTAAATGCAGATTTTTTGTTTTTCAATGAGTCCCAAGTGGCCCCAAATTTTGCTTTCTCAAATTACAACTATCAAAATATCAAACAGCCTATGTCTGGTGTGGATGTGGTCTCTTGTCTAAGCTGTCCTTTGGTTTCCCTCCTTTTGCCAGTTGAAAGGAGATGAATCTTTGGAAGTGGAGGAAATGGCTGTGAATGTTCAGAGGCCATCCAGGAGATCAGTCACCAAGATGTTGTGTAAGTAGTGAGTCCTTCTGTGTCTTATTTACTATGAGCAGGAGTGGGACCAGATCCTGAAGGGTATTGAGCAAGTTCATTGGATACAAGAGTTATGAGTAGCTGTCATATTAAAAAAAAAAAAAAAAAAAAAAAAGGCTTTTTCTGTTGAATCTGGACTTGCAGGAGTGAAGCATTAGGGGTAACAACCAAAAGACTCAGAAAGCAAGTTTTCCTCCCCAGCAGAAGAGGAGGGGAGGAAACTTTCATGGCAGATGCTTGCGTGGCAATTCTCCAACACCCTTTGTTCTAAACTAGCTCCTGCAGCCCTCAGGGAGGATCCTCTTTTTTTTTTTTCTCAGAGTGCAAATAGTCTATCTTGTACATTTTTACACAATGTACGTCTGTTTTGCATTACACCAAACTGTACTTTGGAGCCAGCCTGTTTTTCTGATCCTGGAATGGGTTTGGCCTCCATTTAGACCCCAACATTGCTTGGCTGTTCCTTGCTATGTTTAAATGTCACCCCATGTGCATTAACTGGGTTAGCCAATACAGAAATCAGTGGAAATATTGTTCTTTTAGTTGGTAATGGTAAGACAGAAAGGATGGCAAAAGTTTTGAAACCATGAATATAATTTATATATATTAAGTCTCAGCTTTATGAACGCTCTGTCCTGTGCAGGCTGGTGAACCATATCCTCCCATTCTGACCAGTTTTCCTTCTCCCCTTTCTCCATGCCAGTTGTCCTTGTGATAGTTTTTGCCATCTGCTGGGCTCCATTCCACATTGACCGACTTTTCTTCAGCTTTGTTGTGGAATGGACTGAGCCCTTGGCCAATACCTTCAACTTAATTCACGTGGTGTCAGGTAAAGCTTTCTTCTTCCACTTGCACAGGGAGTGGGGAGGAAAAAGTACTTGTGAGTGGTTTTACTTGGAATGTGTAGTCATTTGTTTTGTAGAGGACATGAGACTTATATGGAAAACCTTCTTGAGGTTTGGTGGGCAGTGATGAGAACTGTGCCTGAATAAAAATTGCAGGCAGGTTTCTGAAGATTTCAAGATCTGGACATGTCAAATTCATAAAAAATAAAATGAAAAAAAAAAAAGGGGGGGATATCATGCATCATTACTAGCTGCTTTTAATTCCTGGGAATGTTCAGAAGTAAAGACTGCTGTCATTCAGCTGCTTTTAAGAAGTACACAGGAGCAAGCAGCATCCTCCACAGGCTCTCTGGGGCAAATAGGAAACCTTACCAAATGCAAAAGCCTTACATACTGCTCAGCACTGGGTGATGAAACCAAATGTTTACGGCCCTGCCAACCATAAAATGAAAGGCTTTTCAAAGAGGAATTTTATTTTCAGCCTGCCATGGGAAAACTGACTGTGGCCATTAGGTTGCTCAGACAAATCCAATCTTATGCCATTGTCCTGGTGAGTTGTAGGAAATTAGCTTCCCCTGGCTGGAAGTTATTCTCTGACAGCTTTGATGGGGCTCCAGCTGTGCAAGCCCTGCTGTGGGGATGAGGGCAGTGCTGGAGGCAGGTCAGGGCAGCTCAAGAGAGAGCTGGTTCCTGAACAGCTGGAGAGACTGAGCTCCAATTCCCAATCTCTCCCACTTTCCTTTCACTGCAGTGAAAGCTGAGCTAACCTTGGTGAGACATCTCTCTGCCTGTGCCAGGTTTAGTCGAGCTGTACAGGCAATAAAGAGATTTTCCTCTTCTGAGATAGTTTCACACACAAAGAAATGTCTCTCTCTTTCCCCCAACCTTCTTCTCCCAGGTGTTTTCTTCTACCTGAGCTCTGCCACGAACCCCATCATTTACAACCTGCTGTCCCAGCGCTTCAGGATGGCTTTCCTCAGTGTGATTTCTCCTTGCTGCAAGCACTGTGCCCCTAAACATCCCACTTGCAAGATTTCATCCCAGAAGAGCATGTTTGTGATTGAGGATCACAATCTCATGGACTCTGCTGAAAACACAAGTCTCCCTGGCACTCACAGGACATCTGTCAGCAGCTCTCAGCTCTCCACTGGCCTGTGACTTTCTGTGTTGTCATCCATGTGAGAGAGAAGGTTAAGAAAACTAAGAAACTAAAGCACAAGAAAACTTCCTAAAAGACTGATTTCAGCAAGAATTGCTCAGGAGATGTCCCACTGAATGAATGAATGAATGAAGGAGGAGGCTGTATTTAGGATATCTTAGGGAAGCACTGTACTGCCCCCAAGCTAATGGGAGGGCTGGAAATGGGAGTTTGCTCACTGCAAGCTGTGCCAGCAAAGAGGTACTTTAAAAGGTGAGAGACACTCCCAATGTTGCCAGCACAGGAGACAAAATCAGCTTAGTCAAGTCTTACTAAATAGCTTCTTATGCAGCAACCAAAACATCAGATTTTACTTATTCTGAAACAGGACAATTTTCTGCATAAACCTTCTCTCCCCATTTCTACCTTTAGGTAAGCCAGTCCCACTTCCCTCTGTTACAACCTTTTGAGGTATGGCTGTTGCAGACCTCTCCTGTCAACATTAGCAGACAGGCAAGAATGAGAGCAGCTCGGAGCTGGGCTGATAAACACCAGCCACCAGCAGCAGCTATTTCTGGGCCAGAAGAACCAGGGAGCCAACAACTGTAAAAGAAATGTAAAGCAAACTTTTGCTTTCTGAGCTTCTTATCATTACTTCAACTTCAGATATTTATGTGTTGTCTCCACCAGTGAAGACCTGTGGTTGTGCACCAGCAGACTTCAGTGCTCTTACACCAGGTGGGCTGCAGAAATCAGAGATCTACGTGGATTAGCAATCACCAGGAAGGAGCCTGAACAGCATTCCCGACAGAGGGAACTGGGACAAACCTTATATATAAGGGCAATTAAATGGGGAGTTTTGCAGTGATACTGCATCTACTAAATTAAGTTTTTGCCACAAGGTCTGAAAAACTTCCCTGCATCCCCGTGGTGCAAACAGATCCTGAGGGCAGTACACCCATATCAGAGTGAAAATTCCTGGGCTCTGCTGACTGCAGGGACAGGCCCCTGTAGAATTTTGCCAAGGGAGGGTCCATTATGCCATAAAGAATTTTGTAAACCTCTGTCTCACACGTTTCAAAGCCTGTTCGTTGTGTTTCAGGGAAATGCCTCCTGTGTGCACCCGGAGTTTGCTCCCCAGGCTGGGCTCAGGCCTGGCACGCACTGCCACAGAGAATCATCCCCTGAGTGTCACCAGGGGACTGGCAGTCACTTACACAGCCAGAGAACACAGAGTTAGCACAGCAAATAACAACATTAGCTCCTCAGAGATGATACACTGTGTGCATAAAATCATTTTCCATTCTGGTCACAGGGGATCCAGATGACATTTCCTACCAAGGAGGAAGGGATTGTACTCCTGATTACTGGTCTCTTTCTTTCTTTGCCCCAGAGTTCTCTGTTTTATTCTCACTGTGGGACTCCCAGGTGGGAGACTCATGGTAGCTGGAGAGTCCTCTTTTCCTGGAGCATAAGGGGAATATTTTCAAATTCTTTTTACCACCTGCAGTCTTGAGAAACAATCCTTGGAGAGGGGAAGAGCCACACACAAGGCCTGCAGAGAAAAGGCCATTCCTGCTCCCTCAAGACACAGCTGAAATGCTTTACCACCCCCAAGTGGACACTTGCATTTTACCAGTGACATTTTCATTTCTAAGCAGAAATTTTGCATTATTTTTCCCTCTGCCAGAGATTTCAGTGTGTTTTCCCTCTGGACAGGCCATGGCAGTGGTGCCCTGCTGCCTGTGGCTGCCCAGGTCCCTGTTCTCCTGCCTGTGCATTGCTCTGTGATCCCACCAACCACCTGGGGACCACCTGGGGACCAGCTGGGCAGTGGCTGTGCTGGATTTCCTTCCTCACCCTGTGCCTCCCTTGGGCATATCCCTCACGGAGCCCTGGGGGTTTTCCTCCCTGTCCCATCTGTGTGACATCTGCCCTAGACACCAGCCAAAGGGCTGAGGAGACATAGTCACACATCCAGCATGGGCTGGAGACAGTCCTCTGCCAGCTTTTGTGGCTCTTTCAATGCTTTTTATGCATTTAGGGTGAGACAGCATCTTGTGTAGGTGCAGAGAGAGCCATCAATGTGTGAGAGACATCCTTGAGTGATGCCCTCCTCTCCTCTCCTCTCCTCTCCTCTCCTCTCCTCTCCTCTCCTCTCCTCTCCTCTCCTCTCCTCTCCTCTCCTCTCCTCTCCTCTCCTCTCCTCTCCTCTCCTCTCCTCTCCTCTCCTCTCCTCTCCTCTCCTCTCCTCTCCTCTCCTCTCCTCTCCTCTCCTCTCCTCTCCTCTCCTCTCCTCTCCTCTCCTCTCCTCTCCTCTCCTCTCCTCTCCTCTCCTCTCCTCTCCTCTCCTCTCCTCTCCTCTCCTCTCCTCTCCTCTCCTCTCCTCTCCTCTCCTCTCCTCTCCTCTCCTCTCCTCTCCTCTCCTCTCCTCCTCTCCTCTCCTCTCCTCTCCTCTCCTCTCCTCTCCTCTCCTCTCCTCTCCTCTCCTCTCCTCTCCTCTCCTCTCCTCTCCTCTCCTCTCCTCTCCTCTCCTCCCAGGTGTTAAGAAATGCATCCCTTGCCTTGCAGATGAGCACACAGATCTGCAGAGAAAGGCTGGAGGGTGAAGTTGGAGGGTGAAGATTTCCTGTGATCTTAAACCAAGTAGCCATGTTTTTGTCCCAAGGGAAGATAAAAGTGTTTTGTGATGAAGGGGAAGCAGAGGTGGGAGGCATCTGCATGGATGGGAAAATTTTAGAAGAGAAGTAGCGAGGAGCAAATCACCTGGTTCTGAATTAACTTATTTTCTTCTCCTAAAATCAGTTTTTATCACATTTAATTTGTTGCCAGCCAAAAGCAGTGGTATGCGAAAGCAAAACTACTGAGCTTTTTTGGCCAAATATCAAAATCGAAGCTGAAAACATTTAGTCTTGCACCAAACCAAACCTTCTGTGAAAGTGTTATTGGGAGAGACATGTCAAAACTCCTCTGAATTCTGCTGAAAATAAAATAAATGCAGTGAAAAAAATGCAGACTAACCAGAGACTCCAAGTTAAGTTCCCAGTGACTGCACAGCTTGGTACCCTTCACTCCTGAGGGAGGATCTCTGGAAAAGAGTTGATTCACTTTGTCCCTAAATGTAGTTGATGCCCAGTGGAGGCTCTTCTTCCCAAAAGGTCAGTGCTTGAGTTGTTTATCACTCTGCTCTGATATTTACCTCCTGCATTTTGAAAGCTCGATCCAGAGATGAAAAAAACAGGAAGATGGATAGAGATGTCATGAAAGCTGATGCTGTTGCTTTATTTATACATTAAGGAGCTTTCATAGCCAACTGCTGAAAAATGTTGGCAACTGGCTGAGAAAAACTCCTGTTGCACAAAAATGGAGAATAACTCTCCTTCCCCCAAAGTGGTCTGGTGTGATAAAACTGTATTTGTTTGAAATCAAGCGTGACTTTTGAGACAGAACTGTCTATTGATTTATTTCTCTGCTTATATTTCTCTCTGGGAAATGTGCAAATGTGTGAGCAGAAAGTGTGAAGAGCAGGGGCAGTGCTCCAGCACTGTGAAGAAAACATGGAGGGTCTGAAATTTGCTACAGGGAAGACTCAAAGGAGAGAAGAATTGTGTTTGTTGCCAATGAGTGATGCTCAGATCTAACACCAGGTTCAGTTGGGAAAAACACCATGAACAGCAGGTGGGCAGTTCTGTTCAGGTTATATGAAGAGTTTTTGAACACCACTGTGTTTTGAAGTGTTTAAACCACAGCTTATCAGTAAAACTAAATGTACATTTCAGCTGCAGAGATGGTTATCTGTATCTGTAAGTAACATGAAAATAAATATACTAAATTCTGTTTACCTAAGCCTGGTCCATGCTCCAGAAAACCTCATGCTTCTTGTTTCTCCCTCTGATTCCATGTGAGCAGCAGAAGATGGACATTCCCCAAATGTCCAGCCAGCACCAAGTGCAGGACACCAAGAGCTCGTTCCAAGTCACTGTCCTTAAAAAAAAAAAAAAAAAAAAAAAAAAAAAAAAAACAACCCAAAACAAAAACAAAAACAAAAAAAAACCTACCAACATACTTCAGCATTTCAGCTGGTATATTTGCACAAAACCAGCACAAATCCCCATGGGCCTTGAAGAATGGCATCCAAGAATTCTGCACAACTGCTCCTACAGAGGAGGAGGTTACAAACTGAGCAGCACAGTTCTCATAGCCAGGAGAGGGTCCCACAGCAGGAACTGCTCCTTCCCAGCCTCTGGAACAGCCAGATCTGCTCTCCCGCTCTGTTTTCACACAGTTGTCTCATTTTCTCTGCTTTCATTATGACACTTGCTAGTATTTTCACCACTGAGGTTTCTTTTCCTACAAACTAGCAAATTGCTGAGCTGTGGCATTTCCATATCAAATGGATATTAATGTAAGGAGAAATATGATAATGAAAGCAGAATGAACAAGAAAACAAAAAAAAAATCTTGCAAGGATTAAAATTGGAGTTTAGCATTTGGTCCAAGTCAATGCAATGATGGCAAATGTCCTTCAGAGTGAGCTGGGGGTCAAAAGAGCTCACAAAGAAACTGCAGAAAATTGCCCAATCTGGCCCCTGCATGTTTCCTCTCCTGGGAAAAAAAACACTTTTGAGGTTGTTAGGGCAGGTCACCATGCACCAAAAGACAGTGAACATCTTGTGCATGATTCCCTGACTGTGAAAAAGGAATTTGCCACATACAAAATCGACCATAATGAAAGAACCTCTCCAGGAGAGTAAAAAATTTTCCTCAACATTTCTTCCCATTTATATTCTGAGTAGTCAACAGCCTGCCTTGGTCATACCCAGACAGAGCTAAGCTCATTTGCTACCAGCAGAAGAAGACTTTCTTTTACCATCTAGACTTTCTGCAACCCTGAAAAGCTGTAGCTGATGTTTTAAAGGCAAATTATCTTAAATCCACTTAATTTTTAAAGAAGAATTAATTTTAGGTGTATGGGATCTGTTGAAATAATTTGCTTCCCACTAGGATAGCTAATTCAATAATAGAATACTGAGGTTCTTATTGTAAAATCCCAAATAATTTTTTTCTTGCATCCTCAGCTTGCACTATTTTATGAAATGCAGCGAGTTCCTTCCCAGAGGAACAGGACTTTGTTTGTTTTTTTGGCTAGATGTGGGTCTTCCAGAAGACCCTCTGACTCAGATATATATAACATGATCTCCATCACAGGAAAACTGTATTCCTTTTTCTAGTCAAATGAGGGGGGAAAAAGTTGTGCTAAAACCAATTCAGCTGACCTGCTTCAGTCATCTATTTTAGGTGTTTTACAGGTAGTTTTTATGTATAACTTCTGCAGCTAAAAAATACAACCAGGCACAAGTCACCTTGGAGTGCTGTGTGCTCTTTGTTGCAGAGCAGGTATGTTTATCAGACCCTTTCAGTTTGTTTCATTTTTTCAGAACCCAAGAGAGTCCCTTAGAAATGACTCAGTAGGAAAATCATGCTCCAAATGAGCAAAGCAAATGGCTCACAGCTAAATCACCACTATACAGAGGGAGAACAGCACCCTCAGGGGCTCACCTACCACTTTGTTCATTTTTCTGGGGCTGGTGCCTCTGGGACACCTGGGCTACACTCAAAAGGCAGAGAAGTTCCAACAAAGCTCTAGCATGTGGAGAATTTGCAGCGTTTGTTTGCAACCTTGCAGTATTCTTTACTTCTTTGGAGATGACAAGGGCAGGGAAGAGTTCTGTTCTGCCAGTGAATGTGCTAAACAGCTGCCTGAACTGAATGGAAAGTCTCCAAAAAGAAGTTTTTTCGTGCTGCTGTTGACTGCAGTGCAGGTGGGTTGGGCAGCACAGAGCAACTGCAGCAAAAAAGTACAAGAGTCACAGTTTAAAGGAGTCACAGTTTTGGGAAACAGAAAAACTCACCAGACTGCCTATGAGGAAGGAAACAAAGCACAAACACAGGAACCTGGAGGTATCTTTAACCATGTTTATTTAACCATGTACAGACTGGGGTTTGTTAGCTGGCTTGGTATTAGGGAAATCCATGAAGAAGGTTTTTTTGAGTGACATTTTTTTGAGTTTGAACAAACCTGGTTAGCACCAAAAAACTCAGCTTCCCCTAAGCCCTGCAGCACTGTTTCCTCCCAGCTCAGGTTACCTGCTCCTGCAGAAAAACAAACCACAGAAAGAGCAGCAGCTATAAATTTCCATTTCAGTAGCACTGGCAGGCCCTTCCATTGGAACTGAGACACAGCAAGCTTTTAGCTTAAAATGATGCAAACTAGTTTGTGTTCCTGCATGAAACAGAGATGAGCAGCAGTTGACACTGGCCCAGATAAATCTGCTTTGGTTATGTATCCCAGCCCCAAATGAGGGGCTGAGTCATGTGGAGCTGGCTCTCTGTGCTTGTAACACTAAATAGTCCCAGAGCTGGGGCTCACATGGCAGCCTAGCAAATCCCAGCAAACCCACTGCACTCCTCCAAGAGGCAGCAAGGACTGCCAGACATGATTCAGCCTCAGCACAGCCCAGTTTTCGTGTGTCTCTTGCATTAACAGCAAGGAACGTTCATATAAGTGCTACTCTCAGCCTGGTTCCTTCCGGTCTCATTTCATTCCCTATCTTCCCTCCCAGGAGGAACAGGTATATTGAAAATCATCTCTTTCCCCCATCCATCCAGTCTTTTTTGCTGCTAAGAAATTCCACTGAGAGCTGAATCTTTTCTCTGCAACTTTATTTGCCAGCTGTAAGGGTTTTCACACTGTTATTTGTATTCCAGTCCCGATTTCAATTACCTGGCTAACCTTTTCAATTTTCACGGAGAGTGAGAATCAGAAAACAGCAGATCCTTTATTACAGCTCACACGGGTGGGGAATTCTTCACCCCCTTTGCCTCCCCCATGTTTGCAGGAAAGCTCTGTCAAATTCAAACAAACTCATTGATAATGACTTGTCTATTTGCTTATGCTTTGCTGGCTGTTAAATATTCTGGTCCTTTCTGTAGACGTCTCTTCCATCCTCCTTTTGGATTGAACATATTATATTTTACACCATTTCTAAAAGCCAAGGAGAAGCAATCTTAAACCTTCACCCTGATGCT